TTATTGTTATTATTATTATTATTATTAATATTATTATTATTTATTTATTTTATTATTGTTGTTGTTGGTGTTGTTGTTGTTGTTGTTGTTGTTTTTATTATTATTATTATTATTATTATTATTTATTTATTTTAGGCGCACAACTGATGCATCAAGGATTTTTAATAGTGAGTGTATCATTGTCCTACTTTTAATTGTAGGCGACAATCCCATACACAGAATATACATTATACCCACGATGCTTTACACAAACTAAATCTCAATAGGCCTATATGAGGTTTAGGGAGTGGAGTTGTTTTTTGTCGTGAGAAAAAAATCCTGCAGCACTGACAGTAATTGAACCCAGGACCGGATTGGAAGGCAGGCATTCCACCAAGCTATTCAACTCCATTCAGTGCAGTTACTGTCTCTTATACACATCTAGATGTGTATAAGAGACAGTCGTTGAAGTGTAAACAGGCCTTAAGGCAAGACTTTTTTTATACCTTGTTTGTTGAACCCGCCGCACACCAATAATGATGATTTTAAATAAAAATACAATTTTATTTTTGGCCAATTAGCACACTTGCCACCACGAAAAAATGGAAATTTTAGACAAATATAAAAGTTTTTCTTTAAATTTATTACGCCGCCACTGCCTTGAAATCTCCAAAAATAAGGTATTTCTTCCTAACTATATAAATTTAAAGCATTTAACCATCCCATTACTACACTGATTACATTCAACAATAAAATTTTATTTTTATTTTCTCATCTCTGGATGTTTTTGGCAAAATCTGCTAAGTAAAAAACAACATTTTTTTTTTTCATTTTTTCCCACCCTCTGACGATCTTTGAAAAATAAGATTGCTGAACAAGGTATTAAAAAAGTAAAGTCTCGCCTAATGATTAAGGTGTTGTTGAACATTAGTAATGATAGAGATGAAGAGGTGGATAAGGAATGTGCACAAGAAATATATACAATTTGTATATTTCCAATGTTTAATATGTTAGGTTATTTATTTGTTGATCAGGTATGGGATATCAGGAAGAATGATCTAGTTTATAAGTTGTCTGGCCACACGGACACAGTCACAAGTACAGTATTGAGTCCTGATGGATCATACGTTCTTTCAAATTCCATGGATTGCACCGGTAAGTCTCTTCATTTAGGCCCTTTCCACCTGGTACTTGAACAGATAAGACTCTTCCAATTATTAATTATCCTCCCCTGATGTACTGATATTATATTAAAATTATCTGTTTGTAGTTTTATGTTAGTTCGTTTGATTTTATTTCAATATAGCATTATGTAGTTTTCATTGCATTTTTTTACACAGTCTTTTCAATTGATCCTTTTTTTAAATGTTTATTCATTTGAATATTAAATTGGTTGTTTTTTTTTATAGTGCGTATTTGGGATATCAGACCATATGCACCAAACGAAAGGTGTGTAAAGATCTTCCAGGGAGCACAACACAACTTTGAAAAGGTAAATAGTATTAGCAACACTTTTACTTGCAGTGTCAGAATAGAATATTAGCAGTGGTGGACCGTCAATTTGAGCAAGGTATGCAGTGCATACCCTGGCTAAATTTAGAAAAAAATTATTGTACAGATTCTCAGCTTTATTTAGCATTTCTTAGCACACAATTTTCTGTACAAAACCTTAATTTTTCAAGTGGATTCATTGGAATAGCAAAGATTTTTTATTTTTTGGCTTACTTTGGTATCTAGGATAAGTCACACTCGGGCCTATCTTATCGTACACTTAGCTGCTTAGAATTTCCGCATGGCTGGTTTTCAATATCAGCCAATAGCACAGTCAGTGAGGCAATGGAAGTGAGAGCATACCCTGCAATGCTTAATGTTGCTATTGTGACAACTGTCTGGTGGCGTTAGAATAGCTAATTTAACACTGAAATGGAAGCACTGCTTCCAAGTGTATGTGCATATGCTCTTCTTCATACTGCATCTCTCTACAATAGCCTGATCACTGGACCTTCACTGCGGGTAATTTGTATTGCCAGACGTTCTATAATCTCAAGGAATAAAGTTAAAACATATAAATTTGCATATATACGACCGGTATAGAAGAAACTTATATTATTTAAATTGAAAAGTTACAGGAATTGGAATTCTTTTGAATAGAAGAAACTACAGCCATGCCAATACATTTGTATTTTGAATAGAGTACACAATCTTGGATTAGGCCTATATATAGTAGGTTTACAAATTTTTCCTACTAGCAGGCCCTAGCATCAGTGGCGTACTTATCTACGGGTCTTGAAATGGAAGGGGGGATGATGGGGGCGGGAAGGTGAAGTGGGTGATCGGTGGTTAGATGAGGGGTGCTAACACTCAAGTAAAGGTGATTTAAAGGAAATCTTTAACTAATTCAGCATGATTCTTTGGGGGTGGGGCGGATGGGCCTCCGCACACCCTATATATCCCACTGCCTAGCTTACCCTGCAATTTACCCTACGGTCCGCCTCTGATCGTTAGCTAGGAAACGTCTAGTTTCTACAGCCCGACACCGATCATCTGTAAAAGTAGTGTTAAAACAGAGAATAAATTGGTATAAAAGCAGTGCAAAGCACACTGGAACCATCACAATTTGGGTGCGGCCCTCGGTGTTGATGAATGAAAAATGAAAAATTCACTTTGGCCTTCTGACCGATTATTATGCGCACCCCTGTTTTAAATAAATGAATATTTTGATGCTTTATCAGCGAAGTTTGGGCTATCGTAGGATTTAACCCTGGGATTGAAAGGAAAGCCTAGATTTTAGGATTTAAATTTTGTAATAAATGTGAAATACTTCTAATTTCTGTTACTATACTACTATGCATGTTCTTTATATTTTTCTGTCTGTTCAGAATTTACTTCGCTGTGCTTGGGCACCTGATGGTAGCAAAGTTGCAGCTGGGTCCTCTGATCGATTTGTATATATTTGGGATACAACAACGCGAAGGATCTTGTACAAACTACCAGGTCATTCTGGATCAGTTAATGATGTTCATTTCCATCCACATGAGCCAATCTGTAAGTTTTTTTTTTGTTTTTTTAAATCAGAATTTATATAGCACCTTTCACAATCCACAGATTTTACAAGCAATTATACCAGGCTCTGGCATCATTATGTCCCTGGTCACTGGATACTGAATTGGCAGATCTACACATTGTGCAACTTTCTCTGCACCCTCGGGAGTATCCCTGGTCATTTATGAGGCCAAGTGGTATACACCCTTGGGTTTTCCCATAAGGACACGTTCTTTCTCAAGTTATTGCGTAATACGCAATGAATAATAGTAAATCACATGTAAGTAAATCTTGAGTAATTAGCATTAGGATGTGGCAGAATTGTATACTTTAGTACAGAGAAGCTGTAATACTTTCACTTATAAGTTTTGTAATAATAAGTCGATTCCAGTAAATGGCCTATTACTTTAAAGCTTATAATATGGAGGATATGAATATTATTGAAAAGTTTTTTCTTGTTTTGGTCACCGGTTTTGGCATATCTGAGTGCTTTTATTTATTGATCGTTTTTGTGGTGAATTACGGTAATTTTGGTAAGACATACATTGTATTGTATTATTATATTATCATACATAAATTTAAAATAGGTATTAAATTATTGTGTTAAATGTCAATGATTTCATTCTTAGTATGCTTTTTCTATGTACACATTTTAATTTTCTTCAATAAGAAAATAGAAACATAAAATGTTAGTTTGTATTTTTTTTCCTTCTCCCTTCTCCAGTACTTTCGTGTTCCAGTGACAAATCAATTTTCCTTGGTGAGATCATGTGATCGTCTTGTAGTCCCAGCAATCGTACACTCCCAATGGTAACAACAGGGCAACACTTGTATCATGTGTCAAGAGGCAAATGCTCGTGGTTGTCATTAATAAGGAGTCGGTTTAGGTGGTGCCACTCAGTTGTCGTCAGGCAAATATTACAACATTTTAAGTCAACATCGTTTTTGCCTCTGAACAGTTGCAAGATGAAGAAAGTGTTCATTATTCTAAATATGACAAAATGTCTAATTCAATCTAAATTTTTCATCAAGTCATTGATGACACCAGTATGTGTGGGGTGGAGGTCAAAGGGAAGTTTCTTTCCATCATCAAACTTACACACGATCAGTCGTCAGGCTGAAAATATTAATTTACCGATCAAAACAAATTATTGTGATCGCAGAACTTATGATTGTTGTCTAAAGGCAACTTTTGACCACACCCAACAGGTAAAGTATTTTATTTAGGACTTTGGCGAAAACTATATACGACCTTGGAGTTGCTGGAAGCCTGTCAGCAAATTTCTGGAGCCTCCTTGGTGTTGCAGTTTGGCCTTTGATGGTCACCCATAGTGTAGCTCCTGATACTGGTATTTATGGGTTGATACTGTAAAATATGTGTATAGAACGTCACAGCTGGAAATCACTCATGCTGAAAATAGAATTCAAAGAAAAGTGTGGAACTTGACTTTTTTTTTCTCTTTACATACAATTTTACAAGTATTTGTAATAAATACTATTAATGTTTTAAGACTTTTATAGTTTGCTCATTCCCTGCATATTTATAAGCTGCAATGAGTAATGATGCCCATATATAGTCATGATGTGCCTATGTATGGTCATGATGTGATGTCATCATGACCATATTTTGGCATATTACATATTTTTTGTCAAATCAAATTTGATAGTTGGCAACCCTTGATTGCTAGTATGTTGGCTAGCTAGTTTATACAAATCATGACATTTATTGTTCCTGTGTGTTTGTGATGCACCGGGTAAACTATATTGCGTCAACAGCACTGCGTGTGAGGGTGTCAGCATGCAGTAATCGGAACTTGGAAATAGAGGTAACATGCAAGATATACTTTATTGCGTTTTGAATAAAACATTGTTTCTAATATTCTGTATTTTACATCATATTTTGATAAAGATAGTTATGCTCTTGGGTCACAACATTCCCTTGGCTGCACAGTCTGGGCCCTGAATTAGGCATTATTCCATGGGTCATAGATAATGCTGGTAATAAGGTCTTTGAGGTAGTCCATGCCATAATTTCAGCATTATTCTATCTTAGCCATCTTTGAACCCCAATGTTACCCCAACCCATTGCTTCTTAAAGCCAGGCTTCAGAGGAAAACAATTTGTTTTGATATGTTGTACTACTGATTTTCTAAGATACGAAAAAGGGTGTATGACAAAAGACTCGAGAACAGTTAATAAGACATAATTTTTTTAATATAGTACAATATATACTTGGGTTTAAAAGTCGAAAAAATGGTGATTATGTAGTTTCGTTAACTTTATATTTGAAGACTGAACTAGTGTTGTTGGGGGACAGTCACACACTGAGCCAACACTTCCAACGCCATTCAATGGATAACTCCTTTAGAGATTGCATCTTTAATTACCCAGAAATTATCCTTGCATGTGTCAAATATGCTATTATTTCTTTTGATGTCAAATGGTCTTAATAGAGCATAGCGTACCGGGGTAACAAAATCAAAACCTAATAAATAAAAAATGGAATCTAAAAAATAAATACGTCTTAAAATTTATAGATCTAAACCTAACAAAATTGAATATTCTGTAATATTAAATTTGTGTGTCCTAAACGAAAAGCTTAAAAAACTAAATCTGTAGCCATGTTTACATGGCCGTTTGCTATCAGATAGGTAAAACCGATGATCTCCAGTCACACATCTACACTATAACAAAAATTACACCTTGATTACACATGCACTAGGCCTACGATCAATGGCCATTCTAGATTTTGGGAGGGAAAAACTCTGGTTTACTGATTAAGTTTGTTGCTCAAAATTTAAATTTGAATTAATTTTGAAACTACTGTACTTGTTTTGATACAATAAAAAAAAAAATATGTCTCCACTTAAAGGGGTTAACATGTATTGATTTCACCGTTTGGCACACTCAAAAAGTGTCCCCATCCACTTAACAGGGATGTACCCTTAATATGGGTTGGATAGTGTTAAAAGATATATTTCCTCTCATTTCATGGACAAGTGTCCCCTTAATAGGGGTGTCCCAAGGAGAGGTTCTGTTGCAGTTAGGAGCATCACTTCGGTCAGCTGAAAAGAAGATCCCAGGCCCGTAGTCAGGGGGGTTTTTATAGTTCGGGAGAACTCCCATTTTCTAGCAAACCCCTCCTCTTTTCTGGCGAAAATCCACCTCCCCTCAAATTTCTCGAAGAAGTCCTTAAACCCAACTAATGCAATGCAGACCCAGACTTGGACGTTTTCAAACATATCTGCTTTTATAGCATTATTTAGACAAAAAAAAACCCTTGTTTTAGGGGTTTCACCGACCCCACCGGGGCTTCGACCCTGGATACCACGCCCAGAGGAAACCCCCACTTGGAAGAAACTGGCCTGAGATCCATCAATAAAAGTATTTCACTGTTATGTAGTATGGCATCTATCATAAGCATGTTTTCTTTACATTTATATTATTTAATATAAATATAGTTTAAAGAGCATTGTAGCAGTGTTAAGATACTACTATTTCTATTTTATAATACAGTATTCATATCGACAAGCCATTTTCTAGTGGGCATCAGTGGTGAATAGCCTATAGCGGAAGACTTGTGACTCAACTTCCAATGATTCTAAATCTTCCCAACAACCCTGAATTAAAAATTCCTCTAGAGTAGGCGAGACTTTCTTATACTTTGTTTCGCGAACTTATTATTTGCGAGTGGTGGGTTCACTAAACAAAGTACATACAAAAGTAGAAAGAGGTTATTACTCCATGTTTTTAACATGGGAAAATCTCAAGTCATAACTGAAACAGTATGGTGTAGAACTACGTACGGTCGGCACCCTTTTAGTTTTACTCCTTGGGACACAGAATATATTGACATAGCTTCCCACGACCCAAGACTTCCAGTTATCATAGAAATTTCGAAAACAGGTACAAAATATACTCCACACAATCCAGATTCTTTCTCTCCTAAATCCTTAGTGTGAACATCGGCATAGGCCTACTACCAACCAATCTTGTCAAATTTTACCCTTAACCATGGGGCTTTTGTGTACTTTCATGTAGGATTCTAATCTATATCATAACATGCACCCTAATTTTTGAGTTGTTAATCTATGCATGCTACATGCATCCAACAGAATGATCAATAGTAAAATATATATATATATATATATATATATATATAT